CCCGGCCTGGCCGCAGCCCCCGCCTCCTTGCTGCCCTGCCCGGCTCGAGGGGGTGCACACACGTGCATGTCGGGCAGGGCCTGCAGCTGCCCGGCTCAGGCAGCACCGAGGTTCCCCCGAGCCGCAACCTGACCGTGCCGGGCTGCACGCCGCTCCCCCAGCGAGAAGCATCTCCCTCCTTCGCCCCCCTGCCCCATAGCAGGACCCCCAGGGGCCGCAGCCCAGGTGCGGGGCCGGGCGCTGGGGCAGAGGCGAGGGGGCCCAGGCGCAGCCCCAGCTGCTGAGTGATGCACACGGAGGCCAGTCCCTCTGGTGCTGCCTTTACTCCACGGCCTGGCCTGGCCTGGGCTCAGCCCCAGGGCTCCCAGCGCCTGGGGTAGGGGGTCACAGGATGCCGCACACCACAGACTCCGTGTCCTCAGGACCCGACTCGATCTCGGCCAGCGCCTTGCACATGTCGCTGAGGCTGAACTCAGGCTCGTCGGGCACCGACTCGGTCTCGTGGGGAGCAGCCCGGGCCCTGCCGGCTCCGGCACTGCTCCCCCCCTTCAGCGCCGCGGCCGCCTTCTCCTCCCACTCCCACATGCTGTCCCCACCGCCAGGGCTCTCAGCCCCGCTGGGTCTGCCCGGGGGCTCCCGGGGCGTGCCAGGCGCCCCGCCGAGCCCGTTGCACAGCCGCCACGTGCTGCCCCACCACTTCTTGGCACTGGCTCGGGGCTGCCCCACATCCTCCATCCCGGACAGGCTGCAGGGTGCACTGTGCTGCACATCCCGGTCCTCGTCCTCGGGCAGGCCCCAGGAGGAGGCGACGCTGGGGCTGCGGCGCGGCGCTGGAGACCCGGGGGTACAGCTCCGGAGGTCGGGCAGCTCCTGGTGGCTTGGAGCCGCTGCACCGCCTGCATCTGCACGGGTGAGGGTGCCACCCCAGCGCCCGCTGAAACCAGGGCCGTGGGGGACCAGCACCAGGCCCCTGGTGCCTTGGCTGCAGGGCCAGGCCATGCCTGTGGCACAGGCCTGGGCCAATGCCCCGTGGACAGAGCCAGGCTGCTTGGGGCCGAGGTCCCAGCCCCGACAGACCTCCCTGAACCTGCCCCGGCCGCACGTGCTTCTCACCGCGTAGGAGTTGGGCCGATTTCAGCTCCCCATCCTCCTCCACCTCCACCCGCTCCTGTCCGTTCTCCACGATCCTGGGAAATGGGCACTCAGATCATGGCTGGGGGGGCGGGGAACGACATGTGCCAGACCCCCTCCATGCACATGCCCCCATGTATCTTCCTTTCACACACATGGGCATTTGGTGCGCATGCATACGCAGCCCCGGCTCCCCTTTTTCCCTTCCATATGCACACTGCCCCCCCAACAATGCCCCATTCACCACCCCCACACTGTCCCTCACTGCCCTCATGCCCCGCCTCAACCCTGCCCCCCACAACACTCCCCTCTGCATGGCCGGGCCCCTGGACATGGCACAGCCCAGCCCCCGCATAGGACAGATGGCTTCAGCCCATGCAGCCAAGGGGGGGAGCCGCGCCCCTGCAGATGGCCAGCCCAAGCAAGGCCCCGAGCCCCTGCAAAGGCACCTCGGAGCTGGGCTCCCCCTGAGACACCCCCTCTCTGGGGTGGGCAGGCAGCGCCTGCACCTTGACCTCCAGGGCCCCGTGCACAGCCCACCATCGGGCACCCTGCGTGCAGCCACCCCACGCTTGCTTGGACCTGCATGGTTCAGGGGCCGAAGGGCCCTATTTAGGGACCACAGCCAGGCAGGGACGCGAGACCAGCTGCGGGTGGCAGCCGGAGCCCCCACCCCTTGGGACCGGCTCAGGCGAGCCCGACACGGCCTCACCTGTTGGTGGTGACGCGCTTGCCGTTGACGAAGGTGGTGGAGCTGGAGACGGAGCGGAAGCCGACTCCTGCGTCGGAGCCGAAGGATGAGAAGACATCTGCAAGACAAGGCCGTGGCTGGGGGCTCAGAGGGACACGAGGGACCGGCAGGGAGGCACCAGGGACGTCCCCACGTGGCCCAGACCCAGTGGCGGAGCCGGGCGCTGGATGCACAGGGCCTGCAGGGTGGGTGCAATGGCACAAGGGACTGGGCAGCATGGGGGTGACCCAGCCTGGCCTGCACGGCAGCCCTTACCTGCCTGCCCGGGGAAGGCGTAGGAGCAGAAGGAGTAGGTCACTGAGGGCCCCCCCGGGCCGTGGGCTTGGGGCCCCCCTGCCGGCCGGTCCCCAAACAGGCCCATGTCATCTGGGAAGAAGGACGAGGCCGTGAGGCAGAGCTCCGGGTGCCAGCTGCAGCGCCGAGATTGCCTTATCGTCCCGGGGCTGCCCGGGCCGACGCAGACACACCCTGCGCTCACTCCTGGCTCAGCTCAGCACGCAGAAGGCAAAGCAGTTCCCAGCAGCACCACACGTACGCGTGCTCAAACACTCGTGTGCACATGTGCACCAGCACACGTGTGTGACCACACAAAGCCTAGTCATGACGGGCAGCAACCCCAGCTCGGATCAAGATGTCTGGGCAGTTCCCAGATTTTTTGGTCCCTTCCAGGCCAGGCACAGAGCAGGCGACAGGCAGCCCCGAGCCGCCCTCCCCGGCTGCACATCCCCAGCCTCCACACTGCCACGGGGGCTGGACCCGCTGGGGGACGTGGGACGGGGCCCCCACTCACCAAACAAGTCAGCAAAAGGATCCCGGCCTCCAAAGACCTCCCTGAAGACCTCATCCGCCCCACGGAAGGTGAAGGTGAAGCCTGGAGCGCCTGTCCGGGCCCGGGGGTCACCCGTCCCTGCGGGGAAACCAGATGCGGGTCAATGCAGACTCTCACCTGGCCGGGGAAAGGCATCAGGAGCGATCCACGTGTCTCAGCCTCGGGGCTAGGGCCAGGCATGCCCAGGGGCACCTGCGTTTCCAGGCCTCCGGGGCCGGGACTTGCCCGCTGGACGCTGGCCTGGACATGGGGAGCAACTGAACCACGCGGCTGGCCTGCAAGATGCCGGCTCAGCTGACCTTATAGGACCTGGTTACTAAGCTTTGCTCCCCGGATTTGGAGCTGAACCAACACTGGGATTCAAAGATGGCAACAAAGGCTCCGCGGCCAGAGCGAGAGCAGCCCTCAGGGACGGGCACGGGTGGCTTAATCCTACGCTGGCCACTGCTTCACCTGGCATCTTGCACAGGCCGCGCCTGCTCCTCTCCCAGACCTCCTCTCCCCCACCACCGAGTGGGGGGACCCTGAGCCCAGGGCATCCCAGACCTTCCAGCAACCAGTGTGGGTAATCCCCATCAGGTGTCCCCGGGTCTCGGAGGGGGACGCTGGGAGATGCCTGGCTCCCCAGGCGATTCCAGTCCCCTCGGGGCCGGGTGGGGAGCACCCTGCTTTTGGGGTGTCCCTACGTCAGCTCTGCCCCCAAGAGCCCAGCTGGGACAGACGGCCCCCGTCAGAGCTGCTGGGTTCCCAGGACGGGAGAAGGGACCGTCTGATCGCAGTTTCTTGCTCACCAGCTCCCAGGAGCCCGTTCTTGCCGTAGCGGTCGTACAGGTCTCGCTTGCTCTCTGCAAAGGACAAGGAGCGAGAGGTCAGCGCGCACCGACATGTGGCCTTGGCTTTGACCCAGCCCCAGCACCGAACCGCTGTAGGAGCGGCCAGGACAGACAGGTGTGGAGTTGGCGCCGGGGCCAGGGCCTCAGTCTTCCAAGCCCAGGGGTGACAAGCGGGGGAGCCGGGGGAGGCCCAGCAAGCTGAGGAGAGGGTGTCAGACAAGAGGCAGGAGCCTGGGGGTGCTGGAGAGAGCCGGGGTGAGGGCAGCAGGGTCCCAGCTGGCTGGGAGATCTGGGGACGGCAGGCGAGTGCCCCCAGGGCACCGGTACCAGGTTGGCTTAGCTCAGCATCTCCCACCCATGCCACCATGCACAGGGTGGGTGCAACCTGCAGGCCCAGAGCCTGCGAGCCAGCGCCCGCTGCCAGCACATGGTGCAAAGGGCCCGGGACGGGCACTGGCCCCTTACGGTCCGACAGCACTTCGTAGGCCTCCGCGATCTCCTTGAACCTCCGCTCGGCGAAGTCCTTCTCCTCGGGGTTCTTGTCCGGGTGCCACCGCAGCGCCGCCCGCCGGTACCTGCCGGGGAGGCACAAGGAGCCATGAGGCTGGACTGCACCGTTACACGGTGTCCCGAACCCCGGTCAGACACGGGTCCCGCAGGCTCCAAGGTCGGGGGTGAATCATCCCCGGGAGCTCGGCCCTGCCCACCAGGCCCGTGCGTCCACCCTCGTCTGTCAGGTCTTTGTAGTGGGTCGGCTCTTCCAGCTGGAGAGCCATTTTAGCAGGTGGTAATTACCTCCACAAGAGAAGGCTGAGGGGGGACCTGGTGACCGTCTATAGACTCACTAGGGGGGACCAGAAGGGTTTGGGGGAGACGCTGTTTCCCCTAGCGCCCGCTGGCATAACAAGGAGCAATGGGCACAAGTTGATGGAGAGGAGGTATAGATTGGACATCCGCAAAAACTACTTCACGGTTAGGGCGGCTAGGAGCTGGAACCAACTTCCAAGGGAAGTGGTGCTGGCCCCTACCCTGGGGGTCTTTAAGAAGAGGCTGGATGCCTACCTGGCTGGACTCGTTTGAGTCCCGTTTCTCTTTTTGGGGTTTTTTGTTGTTCTCCCGTCCTGGCAGGGGGTCGGGCTAGAAGATCTACTAGGTCCCTTCCGACCCTTAATCTATGAATCTATGAATTACTCTGCACGTATGGCCACACTACATCTATTGTGCGATTCACCAGCGAACAGCATGCATGTAGTGTGTAGCAGGGCCCATCCTGCTCCAGTCCCAGGCAGCGTGTGGTGCCTTTACTCTCAGCGTAGCCCCAGCCCCACGTCACAGGGGGCATCGGGGGTGTCCAAGTCTCCAGGGCAGGTCAGACTGCCCCCCTGCCCCCCGGTGCCTGCTAGGGCCTAGACGGGCAGTCAAGCAGCAGGCTCTGCTCGGCTCCCCCACGGCACGGGCTAGCTCAGTGCAGACGGACCCTGTGGCACGGCCAGCTTTGCAGCCCTTTCTTCTGCACAGTGCTTCCCCATCGGAGAGGAAGGTGCAGGGAGTCTGGGAAGCTGCTGGTGCCTGGATGCATGGGCCTGAGGGAAGCAGACAGCAGAGCAGGAGCCCTGGGGAGGGAGGACTTACGCTTTCTTGATGTCGTCTGCAGAGGCGCTGCGGGGGATGCCCAGCAACTCATAGTACTCCACCATGGCGGGGCCAGGGTTGTCAGGGCAGCTGCGCAGGGGAAGCAACGAGAAGCATCTGGTGCTGGACTGGACCCCACAGCCAGCCCCGCAACTGCAGGCAGCATGTCCCACAGCCCTCTTGGGCATGGAAGAGTCCCAGTGCCGCGGGGTGCCAGTCCGAAGCAGAATCAGCCCCATCCAAGCCTGCCCAGACCAACCCCGTGTGCAACCTTGGAGCTACACGACACCATCGTCCCCGATACAGCCCTGGACTTCGCCCCTGCCCCAGGATACAGGGGGCCTGCGACTGCCCCCATCCTGCTGCTGCCGGGGCGGGGGGTGGCGCTGCAGAGAAGGAAGGGAAACCCCCTGGGCCAGGCCACGCTGAGCAGGGGGCAAATCTGGGGTGGTGGCCATGCAGCTCTTCAGGACACTGGTGCAGACCTGGTCAGGGCTGGCATCTTTTCTTGGGCAGAGGACAGACAGCCCCAAGGAGGGAGCATTGCCCTAATGCTCGGGGTCTCCGCCTGCCCAGAGCCTACAGTGACTTGTAGGGGCAGAGGGATGCCACCCCAGACTCCGTTCAGAGGGGCAGCAGCACCCCCTCTCCGGCCAGCACGGCCCAGGCCGCACCTCACTGCAGGAGGCATGGTCCCAGCCGCATCCTGCCTGTGGCTGCCAGCCCCTCCAGCGCAGCTTCACACCTGCCCAGGCCCGCGCTGCCACTGCCGCCACGGGGAGGGCCTAACTCCTCCACAGCCCAGCCCCCCACTGATAATTAACACCCAATGCAGCCAATGGGAAGCTCAGGCTGATTGTGATGTCAGCACTTGGCATGTGGGAGGTGGGAGTCCCTGGCTCAGGCCACGGGTGGTCCAGGCATGGTGGGTGGCACTGGGCACAGACAGGCAACTCAGAGTCCCAGCGCCAAAAGTAAGAGGGGTGGACTGCACTGCCTGCCATGAACTGACCTCAGCATAACGGCCATCTCCGAGGCTTGGGGGACGGGCGGCGATTCACAGGTGATGATCCAAACCGTGGGAACGACAGAGCATGAAGAGACAAGGTAGGGCAGGGATGGCGCTGATGGGAACGGCATAAGCATCTTACCTGAAAGGGGAACCCCCACAGAGCCCTTGCACGGAGAAGCCCCGCTCTTGAACAAGGACGCGGGGCTGGGGTCGTACCACTGACCACCTGAGGCGACTATGAAATGTGGGGACAGAAACTGCTAAAATGAGACGAGCAATGATCACGGGAGACTGCACCTGCCCCCACGCAGGCAAGGCAAAGACTGCTCGGGGCGAGCTGTGGAAATGCAATTTCTGGATGAAAAAGCGACCGTTTCTAGCACCCACAAGAGGAAAAGCAAGGTGAGACCTAATGCAGTCACACACCAGGCCTGGCCCAAGAGGCATCCGCTGGTCAGCCACCCTGCAACAGCAACCACAATGTGGCGTGAGGGGAGGTGTGGGGACCGGGGTGATTTACTCTGCAGAAGAGAAGACGGAGGGGGATTTGATAGCAGCCTTCACCTCCCTGCAGGGGGGCTGCAAAGAGGATGGAGATGGACTGGTCTCAGTGGGGACAGATGACAGGACAAGGAGCAATGAGCTCAAGCTGCAGCTAGGGAAGTTGAAGTTCAATATTAGGGAAAACTCTCATTTGGAGTGTAGTTAAGCACTGAAACAGGTTACCCAGAGAGGCGATAGGTTGCTCCAGTCTTGGACCCAGCTAGACAAAGCCTTGGCTGGGATGATGAAGTTGGGGCTGGTCCTGCTCTGAGCAGGAGGCTGAACTAAATGCGACCTCCCAAGGTCACTTGCAATCCTTGTTGTCTACGATTGCATTCAACATTCAAGCAGGAGGGAACAAGACAAAAAAAAAAAAAGTCTGCCACATGTGGGCACGAGTGGAAATTAGACAAGAACGAGGAATCGAGTTCGAAAGAGGTTGAATGGAGCTGTTGATAACATGCAAACAGTTTGAAGGCTGTTTAAAAATACTGAGTCAGAGAAAAGCCTGTGCCACAAAGCAGGAAGGGGACTGAGTGGTCTGATAAAACCCCACCCTGGTTCAGTGCCAGTGTTCAGGAGGCCAAATGGAAGGTGTGTTCACATGAGGAAGAAACCAAGAAGGCCCACAAACTCCGGCCGCTACAGCACAGAAGTGCAATAAGGGCAAAGAAGAATTTGAGAAGCATCTAGCAAAACACGCGGAAGTTAATGATAACTTTTCCAAGCACGTCAGGAGGTGGAAGCCAGCCAGACTCAGTGAGACCACTAATGCCCGGTGTGCTGAAGGTGCACTCAAAGCCTTCAGCCGAGAAGCTCAACGAAGTCCATGTTCGGCACAGAAGATACCAGGGGAAATCCTCTTGCCACTTCAGTCCTTTCTGGCAGATGGGCCCACGCTGCAGGGACGACAGAGGGAGCTTATCCGATGGATAAAACGGACTATGAGAAAGTCACAGGCACTCGGCCAAGAGCTCTGCCAGGACTCAGAGGTGACATTGCAGAACTGCTGGCAGCAAAACGTGAGCTGTTGTTACAGCCGGCCTGCGCCAGAGGGCTGGCGGGTCACCGACATAACAAGGGGATCCTGGAGCTACGGAGCAGGAAAGCTGGTAGAAACTGTAGTCGAGCATCCAACCTGCAGCCACTGGACATGCGAGACCTGCTGGGGACCAGCCAGCATGGCTTGTAATGGGAAATCCTGCATCACCAACATGCTGGACCTCATTGAGGGGGTCCCAAGCACGGGGACAAGGGAGATCTAGTCGACATCTGATATTTAGGCTTTCGACAAGGTCCCTCACCAACGGCTTTAAACACAGCTGCAGCCACAGGACCAGAGGGAAGGTTTTGCAGACCAAGAGCTGGTTAGGAGAGACAGCAAGCAAAAGGGAGGCTTGGTAGTCACTTTTCTGGATCGAGGGAGGTCAAAAGTGGAGTCCGGCTGAGATTTGTTCAGGGTTGTGTGTGACATTTTCATTGGTGACCTGGAAATGGGGTAGCACAGTGACATCTCCAAGCCTGCTGGTGATACCAAATGATTCTGGGGAGCCAAGCCCCAGGCTGATGGAGAGGAGCCGCAGGAAGGTCTTGTGCAGCTTGGGAGGGAGGGCAAAAACCCAGCAGACAAACTGCACTAGGGAGAAATACCCCAGCTACTCAGACATGGAGCTGGAGCCTGAACTAGCTGCTAGGACTCAGGAGAGAGACACAGGACTCACTGTAGATGGTTCTGTAGTTAGCTCCGGGCAAAGCAGTGACCAAAAAAAGCCAATAAAATATCAGGCATTGTTAAGACTGGAATGGAAAACAACTCGGAGAGCATTGCCCGGCCCCCTGCAAATGCGGGTGCACCCTCACCTCAACTCTGGTGTGCAGGCCTGGTCCCCACATCCCCAGGATGCAGCAGACTCAGAAAAGAGCAGCTATAATGAGCACGGGCCTGGAGCCATTGTCAGACCAGGAGAAACTAGAAAGGCCAGGACCCTTCAGCGTTGAAAGGAGCTGGCCACGGGGGAAGAGGATGGGGGTCTACAGCATTGTCTGCAGCCTGCACAATGTTGCTCCCCCGTCCCACACACTAGAGCTAGGGGCACCAGCTGCAATGAGCAGGGAGTGGGTTTAAAAGGAACAAGAGAAAGGACTTTTTGATGAGCCCCACTCATTAGCGAGGCACTGGGTTGCCCTAGGAGGGGGTGGAGGCTGAGAGCAGAGCCAGGGCCAGCAAGCAGCTGGATACGTCGCAGCTCCAACCCCATAATGGGGGAGGGTGCAGGGCAGGGAAGAGAGCGCCCTAGAGAGATCCAGTGCCATGCTCTTCCTCTATAGTGACCACATCTGCCACTGCAGGAGATGGGACACTGGAGCACGGGTCTGACCCAGTCTGGCCCTACTTACGTTCCTGTGACTCCCCACCCCAACTTCCAAACCCTCCAGCCTTCGGGGACCAACAACACTCACCAGCTTGTGGATGTGCTCCAGCACGGGGTCGATGATCTCCTTGTCAACAGGCACAGTTGTTGGCCATGTCCTTCTTGCCCGTGATGAGCTGCTCGGGGTGGAAGAGCTGCTGGTAGGTCCCAGCGTGCACCTCGTCTGCAAGGCATGGCATGCCTAGGACCTGCTGAACTGGGGGGGGAGGTGGGAGGAGGCTGCCAAGTGTGGTTGCATGAACATGCTCCTGCCTACTATGGACACGTGTGCCCTTGGAGCCGTGTCCCAGAGGACTGGAGGCCCTGCTCTGACCCACGGCAACATGCAGACAGCAGGGACATGGTACCATCCAGGAACGCTACCATGGGACAGCTGCACAGGTTGCCCCTGGCCTCTCCACATGTGACGGAGCATGACCTCCACTGGGTGCTCCCCGCCCCCCCCCC